AAAAAAATAAGAAATCAGGAAGGGGCAAACACTTTTTCACACAACTGTATATGATTGTGGACAGATGTTACTGTCATAGCGTCACAACTGTGCAAGATGCAGTTGTGGTGGAAAAAAATTTTTTTAACCTCTGTGAGAAATAATCACGATGGAACTCCTTAAAGTATTAAAAACATATTTAATGAACAGACACTTCAATCAAAATTCAGCTGAATGGATAGAGCTCTTTCCCCACCAATGGTTCAGAGGTCTAACCCTGATAAACAGAGAAACAGAGTGTATATGCACGTTAACTCGTCTCCTCTCCCTTCAACCCCCCCCCCCTCGCAGATGTTGTCCGAAGAAGAACCCCAAGGGCAGGTTCCCAGCCTTTTCGTGGGAAGAGGGTTGAGATTATATGCAGGTTTAGTGATACAAGACAACTAAAAGAACCATATGATAAATTTCCACAACAGCAGTCACAAAACGTGTGACTTGGTGTGTAGTTGAGATTAAAACGTAGTCCAAGTTTGAAAATTAAGTGTGGCCAAAGTAAGGTGGCCCGAAGTAAAGGGGGGGGGGGTCACTCGACGGCCTCTGATTATCACATATTCTCCAAGAAAATCCAGAGTATATAAAATAAAGTATTATAATAAAGTCCTGAACTTACTGACCATTTTTCAGTGATCCAGCTTTAAAAACATTCTCTGTAGATGACGACTGTCTCTGACCTTTCTACACACCTGCCACTGTGTGAGAGAAAAACAGCATCTATTGAACCATTGTGTCCTGTGCGTTGTTCTCCTTTGACCCTGCAGGCTGTTGGACGGTTTCCACGACTTGAACAAAATGATTTGCCAGAGATACAAGAGAGCGAACGGCATCTCTCGTGACCTGCTGCTGAGGACTTTACACCTGGAGCCGCAGTACGCTGTGAGTATCGTTTAAAACCCTGGGAATGGCATTGTGGCCATATTTTGAGTTTGCATCATGCTGATGTGTTTCACTGTTCAGCATTCTGTGAGAAATCGAATGTTGCATTCAATTATATCTCTATCTCTACACACACACAGACACACACACACACATGCTTTCTACGCATAAACATGTCATGCAGAGGAATTAGCACAGAGCGCTTAGTGTTCAGTTTCCATTTGTTAAGCTTCAAGGTTGCTAAAAAGAATTAGTCAGGACTGCCTGATGACCTGATGGTGTCTTTTAACTGGTCGAAACCCGCAGCTCCATTCAAATGAGGTGACTGCTGTTATATGCAAAACACTCCTCACACTTCACCGCGGCTGATTAACGAGTACACCAGTCAGGCTGGTCTCACAGTTCACCCAAACCGTGCGAGGAAATTACAGAGCACCAGATGTGTGATTCACTGATCCATAATCTTGTCTTTGGTGTAGCAGAGTAGGAAATACTACACCTATTCTAGTCAAATGTATTTTATTGTTTTATCTATTAATCTAGTCTTTTCTTGAGTTTTTCGTGGACTCTGTGTTGGTTAAACAATTAGTTATGGATTGGATTTTGTCAACTTTATAATATTATATTATAATAATAATAATAAACATGGAATATTGTACAAGTGGATTACAACAGAGCCCACTAGATGGTTTTATTTGTGAAACTACACCATGATTTTTCATTTTCATTTAAATATGATTTACTAGTGATTAAATGTCTTACTGTAAATATATACAATGATATATTTTGTCCATTAAATAAATGTTCTACTCCTGCATTTCAGGGGATCTATCAGTAGAAATGGAATATAATATTCATAAGTATGTTTTCTTTAGTGAATAAACACCTGAAACTAAGAATTGATGTGTTTTTCGTTAACTTAGAATGAGCGCTTCATATCTACATAAGGAGCAGGTCGTCTTCACACAGTCCTCCATGTTGCACCACCATATCTCTACAGTAGCCCACAACGGACAAACCAAACACTAGAGAGAGCCTTGAGCATTTTTGCGTTACCTGAAGGCCACTGTAGTCGTCAGACATGCTTGTGAAACTGTTGTTTTGTTCAATCAAATTGAACTTCAGTTCAATCAAATCCTCACATAGAACCGGAGAACTTAAAATACTTTTTAAAGCATACTTGTGGTACAAAAACATTTTCTGTTGACCAACAATTAGATTAATGAACTCATCACTTCAGCACTTTACTGAGTGGTTTACTGAGTGGTGTTGCTGATGTTCAGTTCGTCTAATATCACATCTGCATCGTTGTGTTCTCATCTTTGCAGGAAAGCAGACCTGCACCCTTGACAGCCAATCGCCGCCTCTCCCCCGGCCTCCCGTCGGCCAATCGGCACGGTCAGAACGCTGCCGCTAAGCGACGGCTGTCCTACGACTACAACAGAAACGTCACGGAGTAACTGTGCAGGCTCAGCTCTGGTTGGACTGTGATTCATCCACGTTTGCCTGAAGAACTGCAGGGTTTTAACCCCGTCACGGCGGCACAGACCAACGGGTTTCTAAAGACTGTGGATTGACAACATGTGTACTATCTGCTACTCAAATACTGACTGACCTTTTGACTCTTTGCACTCTCCCTGGTTATTTAAACCTGAGCCGGTGAGTAGATGCAACCTGGATGAAAAGTGAACGACGGTTGTATTTCAGAAGTTGTCTCCTCCAGCTCCTGTTGATGTATTCTGGTGGAGTGTTTCCATTATGTGTCACCTTGTTCACCACCACCACCCTCCTATTTTCATTTTCCTTGTCGAGCCTGATAACAGCAGGTTGTCAAAGATTAGGTACTCGAGGAAGAGTCAAGAACATCATAATGTCACCACGTCAACCAGGAATTTTTCCTTCCTGTTCATTTATTATCTGAAATTGTACCTTATTAGATATATGTTCTCCGTGTCAGAGCTGCTGTTTTTGCCAGAAGTTGTCTCGTTGTTTGAGCTGGTGCAGTGCCCATTGGCGGCGTCCCAGTTCAGAGTGGACTGATTGCTTGACTCCAGATCCCGGAAGTGCTGCGAGGAAGTGAAGAAGAGCATGGTTGTAATCTTAGTATATCCAGCATCCTGCAGGATAAGTGACCTGCGGTCAGCATGCCACGGCCCCGTACAGCCCCGCTGTGGGCGACATGCTAACGTCCGCAGAGCCCTGAAGATCCGCCCCCCGCTGCTACTGAGCACCAAGGCTAATTTATTCAAAGTTTTTTATCTTTTAAAGATCCTGGTGTCCAATTTGCACCAAGGTCAACAAAGCACTCTGTGGGGACCCCAGCAAAACCCCCACCAAGTGTGAAGTAGATCAGAGAAGGGGTTCTCGAGATATGCAAAGGTGAGCATGGTTTGCTAACTAGCTTATCTGTATTGTATAGGCAAACATTTCAACCCTGCTTCTCCTTCTCTTTTCTTTTGCCTTTTTGCAAAATATGTTTCTTATCCAGAATATGAATTTTCTCTTTGGCTCCACCAAACAGTTGTCTAACTCAACTCAATGATATTTCTTCTTCCGGAGCAGCTCTGCCTTCTTTGAGCTATTCTGCCAAGTCGGATATATCGGGGCTTTCTGGGAAAACCACTTTGTCAGTTATACTTTCAGATACAGAGACATAACTCTTCTGCCTGCCTCCTAGAAATTGTTTTTTGCTTACACTCTATTAACACAGTGGCTCATAACCGCAGGTACTCTTTATTCAAACTCGTAACATCTCAACTCCCGACAACAGAAACCTGCTGTACTGATGCTGAGATCTCTCTACAAATAATGTCAGCTGCATGTCAAAGCTCATTTCACCTCCCTTCTTGTTTTTCAATGGAACACGGATCATGTGATCTTGGAGAGCATTGTTTTTATTAATTGCAGAATGCTGAAGATGGATCCGTATGGGATGAGTCTTACATTTATTTCCTTTTACATTTTGCAGAGTGATGCATGTGCTTTCATTGTGTATCTGTCACAGAATAGCCAATGACAGAAATGAGTCCGAAAAAAATGAAACAAGTTTGTCTTCCAGTTAGTGCCAACAGGACCACCGATGAAAGTGCCAATGTTTACGAGGAGCGAAGCAGACAGGTTCAGGAGGAAACGTCGCCTCTCGTTTCTCAGACACGCTGAAGTGGACTCAAACTCTAAATTTCAGCACGTTGATGTTTCTATTTTTTCCTTTGTCTTTCTGTCCGGCTTCCCTCTCTTTCAGTACACTCACAGTTGAGTCCACTTCACGGACAAAACTTGAATCTAGCTGCCAATCGAAACAGTTGTTTTTTTATGAGAATATTGTTCACATTATGACGTGTCGATGATGCACTGTACAATTTTAATTTAGACATACTATCACATATTGTCAACTCAGAAGGTTTATTTCGGTCTGTTGTATATTTTACTTCATGATGATTCAGAAACGTGTGTGTGTGTGTGTGTGTGTGTGTGTGTGTGTGTGTGTGTGTGTGTGTGTGTGTGTGTGTGTGCCATGTGTACAAACTACAAATTGCTGAAAAAGAACAAGATGACTATTTTCTGATCTGTTCAAACAACGAAGGAGGAGTTGTCGCCTTGGTAACCGATGTAATAAAACGATACTGTGTGATGGCTGACTGCTTCCTGGTGACATTCAGAAGAATACATATATACATATATATATGTATATATATAAATATGGGCATGAGAGTATTGTATTAAAATAGACATGGCGTTTTTGTAGACCAAAATCTGAGTCTTTCATGTGATGAATGTGAAAATGCAGTTCGACACTTGAATTTGTTGCATCAAAACATGCACGTGATATGAAATCATGCAGATTTTGGGAGAGTACGTCAATCCTGTCCAGGAGTTGTCAGACTTTGCATAAGGATGGTTTGTGCAAGAATTAGAAGTCTGACTTATGTGCGAAGAGTTACGGGCATTTCAAATTCATCCCAATGCTGTCATCAAATTCTTTTTGCAGGATTACAGACTTGAATGCTGCCACTGAAACATGCATACAGGAGGCGCCTCCTGTCACAGATTTGGGGAAACAGTCGTGGCGAAATAGTACGACACATCAATTAAGTTATCTGATTAATGATGAAGAGGACTTCAAACAAAAAACTATTTTGTGTAAACTAGAGAAACCTCCTCCTGGTCACAAGCCTAACCTTTTAGCCAGTAGGCAAACCAGCTCCGTCTCCCCCTGAATGTGAATACACAGAGGCAAACAAACAGATGAAATAGCACACATTGTGAGGTCTCTAACTACACCGTGTTTATCAGAACATGTTATGTAACGTGTTGAGATGCATGTATGTATTCATTCGATCAGGTTTGTGCAGACATTTTTATTGAACTTGATGCTGATACCAATGTGTTGGACAACACAGAATTGATGGACAACCCCCCCCCCCCCCCCACACACACACACACACACACACACACACACACACACCCTGGTGAGATCAGTGAAGCAGCTCTGTGGTCCAGAGAGAGTTAAGCACTTTATTTGCTGAGTCAGAGCAGCAGCATTTACTTCTGCACTGACTCTTTTTTATATACAAACCCCACAAACAAGACAGCGATCACTTTCGGGGGGGCGGGGGGAGTCAACAGAGCATGCTGAGGGTGTTTCACTGTGGGCCTCAGTCTGTGGAAACAAGCAGCAGGTTACAGCCCGACGACGTCAGGAATTCATTACCGAGTGTCACGTGACCTGGAGTTTAAGTTTCATTAAGCTCGACTTGAAGGAGTGATTCGACATTTTCTCGCTGAGAGTTTGTTGAGTAGATCGACACCACTCTAATGTCTGAAGCTTAGGGTTGGGTCTCGAGGGATTGAGGTTACCACTGATAACAACAAGACTGCATTAAATCAAGAGATAGTCAGGCACATGACCCTTGTGTAACCACAACATGTTTTTATAATTATATACATGTTTTTATAATGTTTTAATGAGCAACCAAATCCCACTCTGAGCATAGTGCCTTCCTCAAGATGAATGTCAAGAGTATATCATTTTCTACATTTTACTATATGATTGATTTTCCTATTTGGAGAAAACACATAACAAGCAGTTTCCACACTGAAAGAAGGACAGAGATCCAAACCCAGGAGCTCCCTCTGACAGCTGCCTGTGATGCTGCTCAGTGGAAAACAGCTGATGTCAAAGCCTGGCCCGTACAAACATACTGGAGGTGCCCATACTTAACACTTTGTACTTAACATCCATAAATGTTGCAATTTTCATAGCGTATTTTGCAACAGTTCTGCGTTTGTGATACTCATCAACTTTAACGGCCCGTTGAAAATCATTTAGGCCATGATGGACATCATGGGAGCTCTGCACTGACCCAGACTGACCAGGGTTCCTTAAGGTCAATTTGAGGCTCAGTGACAGAAGAAACTCTGGCACACACTGGGACTTAACTTAGAAAAACACTATTGAACAATAAAATGATTCAGCAGGTTTTACCGACCGCCGTAAGTGCAGATACATACACACAAACTTCCCACATACATATATACCTATCTGCAACTCAAACAAAGATAGAGGCCCGAAGTCACACATCTCTTTTCTTGTTTTGGATGATGGCCGAGAAAATAAGAGCCTCATTAAAATATGAAAACAATGTAAAATGAGATTCGTATTTCTTTAAACTAACCCAATATAACCTACAATTTTATTTTTGCAAATGGATATAAGACAAGTAAGGAAATGCATCTCTTCCTGGTTATCTTTGGCCAAAAGAAGAAAAAGAAAGATCCTCATAATTTGGGGGAATATTGTGAAAGAAATCTTGATCAGTTGAAGGATTATTTTTTAATGGATAGAAAATGTCTTTAAAAGAGGTGAGATGAGACTATAGGCATAAATGTTGTTTTTCATGGACTGGTCAATTTTGAGATTTGGGGCTCATTTGCTTCCATAACATGTCGTCTTTCACACTAGTGGAAAGAAAACATCCGAAATACACATTTAGGTGTTTACTTCCCTGCTTTGTCTATTTGCATCTGTAGATTTTTTCATAAACTAGATCCAGAAATCTCCACTTCAGTAGCACTTACATACACCAAACTTTCCAGTTACGATCTGTATTCTGAAGGTTTTTACAGAGGGGTTTTGTTCATATATCATTCATAGCCTGACTTACAAAATATTTTATCAAAAATGTATTAAATTCATGACCACTGTAGGCTGTAGTTTGTGCTTGTTGTCAAGTTGTAGTGCATTATACTGAAGTGCTTCTAATGTTGTGTCCACTATTTATATAGGGTAGACTGAGTACAGGAAACTCCTCAGTATAACACAATACCAGTTCAACATAATAGTAAAGTTTGATCAACATCACTTGGAAACTGCAATATGTTATCTCGGTGGACCCAATAAACTAAAAATTTAGCCTCAACAAGTGTGTGAATATCCAGGCCTTCATTCCATCTAGTTTGAGAAGTATTTTTTTAGATACCTCAAAAGTTTTCATCATCAATTTTTTTGGGGTAACACAAAGCCATGTGTGTCTCAGAACTTCGGCATCTGATTTACCCACCAAGCGTTCTATTTAAAGATCCACCTCCTGTTCTCAGAGACAGACCACCGGGCAATGGATGGCGGCATCTCTTCTCCTTTTCTTTCCACCGAATCATCCTGTGAAGGAAACAAAACCAAAAAATTGCTCCATAAGGATGTGTTTTTATGCCTCCGTGCCGACGACAAATGGAGAGCTTTCGTCTTATACTACGTATGCAGACAGCAATGGCAAACTAAACTGACATAACAACTAAAACCTTTCAAACTGCAATGTTGTCATAATCTGACAGTACATCTTTTTATATTTGTATGTACTGTATGTATGTAATCTAAATGTTAGTAAAATGGTTGTCTCAACCTGTTATTGCCTAATGACAATATAAGTATTCTAAACAACACAAGTCTGAGGTAAAACATTTCGAACTGAATAAAATATCCCAGTATATTTCTATATGTAATGTGATTAAAATACGTATAGTTACACTCACTTAATATTGCCCAATTGTTAAGTGAACGCATGAATATTTATTAAAAATAAATATATTTCTAAGTTAAGACAATGCGGTTATTTTTCATTTTGACCAACTTCCTAAAAACTAGTACATGTAACAAACGTCCTTTTTTATGCTGAAAAAACGTCTTTAATTTAAGCCTTGTCCACTAACCCCACATGTTGCCCCATTCACCTTAAAGTAAGTTGTGTCAAACAACTTACAACTTTAATAAAGTTTCGCTTGGCTGTATTATGATTGAGAACGTACAGACAGAGTCCTGAGTGACAGTGTGATGATGCCTGCACTTAGCAGACTTTTTCCAGGATGCAGGACTTCCAGGACTCCGAGCTGACCACACCCCTGCTGTGTCTACGGTGGGAGGAGGATGCGTTAAACAGGAGGGGTTCAAGTTTAATTGGCACAGCCCCCAACAAATAAGATCGGTTCCCACACAGAGAGGAAAGAAGAGCAGTCACAGAGACGGAGAGGGAGGCCCCGGTGAGCACCTCCACGCATGTTAATCCCGGAGTCAAAACCAAACAAGACATGCATTCCGTAGGTAGGTCGTGGCTGCTGCTTACCGGCTTCGTGCTGTTCTATATCATCTACCTGCTATTCGGAGCGCTCGTTTTCTCCAGCATCGAGCGGCCGGTGGAGGACAAGATGCGCGAGGACGTGGAAGCCCTGAAGCACGAGTTCCTGAACCAGAGCTGCGTCAACGCCGCGTCGCTCGAGCGCTTTCTGCTCAAAGTGCTGACGGCCAACAAGTACGGCGTCTCCGTCCTCAAGAACTCCTCCGCCGCCTCGAACTGGGACCTGGCGTCCTCCATGTTCTTCGCCAACACTCTGGTCACCACCGTCGGTGAGTTGTTCGGACAAAAACTATAAAGAAACCACCTACTTATACTGCCACATCATCAGTAATCAGTTTGTTGGTTGAGCTCCAGACCTGAGGAGAAGAAGAAGAAAGAAAGTGACATGCTATACAAGATCACGTTTAATCAGTTACTCAAGCATTCTACAACACCTCAAAGAAACCCAGGAAATGTATCTTTTAATCTCATCTCCTTGTTTAGCATGTAAAGCTATGAAACTGGTAGAGCTGTCCGCACACTTCGACCCATGCAGAGTACACTTTATATCACGCATGCGAAGCTTGGAAGTCCCGCAGAGGAATGATTATTTTTTTGTCATCACTTTGAGTTGGCTCATCTGGAGCACTACTCGCATGAGTTGTAAAATGTCTGCCTGTGGCTTTCTGAAGTCTGAGACAATAAACCCGAAGATGTTACCGGGGTTTTTTCTCGACTCGGGCTCGGAGGCTTCGAATTTGTGACGCGACAGCAGTCTTTACAAGCAGTGGAGTGTGAAAGTTGTGGGTGTTTATCCAGGCAAGGCGATCATAGTGAAAGATGATATCAAGTTGCACCATGGGAAATGTTCTCTCAAGACGCCTAACATTATGAAAGTCCCATACTAAGTCCCCTTTTGTGTTGCTATGTAGTTGAGTTCATTAGTACGTAACATGGTGCCACTTTAAAAACCAACCCACCATGGACTCTGTTGTCTTTGGCTTCCAAACCTTAACGTGTATTAATAATGTTTGCCTGAGACAACCACTGTCTGCAGTCATTACACTGAAGGCCTGAGGCTCCAGTGGGATGGTCCAAAGATGACAAGTTTATTCATTTTGAAAGAATTACTTATCTGTTTTGGAGTTGTTGTTTTTTTTTTTTTTTTTTTTTTTTTGCTAAATTGAACAGGACTTTCATTGTCTCAAATTTATATTTCCAAATATTATCCATACAACATAGGTTCTCCCATTCTGTGACCCTGATTAAGTTTCTGTCTTAAAGCACCACCCTGCTTCACATTTCACTACACACTAACTTGTGGGAAACGCCCAGGGCAGCAACAGAGGTACTAACTTTATGTTCTCCTTGCAGAATTTCCCAGCTGGTCTAATTATTCAGCTGATGTTATGACAAAAAAAAAACAACTTGCTTTTGTCATCTTAAATGTCAGAATGAACCAATGCTCTGTGACCTTAATTCAACGCGTTTCCTGTTGAAACAGGATGTTGGGGCAAAACAGTGACTCAGGGAAGGCCTGCCAGTGCAGCATGTTTGAAAAGTTAGAAACAGTTGTTTTTTTTTCTTCATGTCATAACATTGATTTAAGGTATGAGGTTTTAATTTAACGTTTGACTTTCTGCGGAAAGCCTTAGATGCAAAGTTAGTGTGTGTGTGTGTGTGTCTCTCTCTTTCTCTTTCTCCCCCCCTGCCTAGAATTTACATGGCAAAAATAGAGTTAAAAAAATTCTGAAGTTATTTAATAGACAGAATTTATATGGTTTTAGAAATGATTGGTATTGGACCTTGTGTTTGTCTCAAATGCTGTCAGAGCCCGGGGAGACATGACTTGCGATTTACCTGTGAAGTTTTGATCGGCACTGCCGGCGTCAAAGCCACCTGAACGCACCAAAATACTGCAGCATCATTCTAGAAACACCACACAGAGAAGCTCCTGGAGCCGTTTTATTGCAAGCGTCTGTGCTATTTAGGCAAAGTACTATGAAAACACTGTCACATTCCCAGGCACGCTGACACTCACATGGGAACCTTTGTGTTCGGGGGAAATTAGTTTGCTCTGTGTGATGCATGAATTTCTTTCACAATGCTGCATGTGTTTCCTTCGGTTACACTTCCTTACTTGTCATGTTAAACAATGTTGATGTTTGGGTTGGTTGGCAAGAGAAAGAACACAAGCAGTCAGATGATCGCACAGGTTGTAAAACAAACCGCCGGTTTATTATCTGAATCTTTTTTTTTTTTTTTTTTTATTTGGAGGTAAAACCAAAAGTGAACAGTGAAGTGTGTGCTCTGCTCACCACTACAATAGGTACAGTAAGTTAAAGTGGAACTCTGCTTAATCAGTGTGTGGAAGTTTAATGTGGACAGACTGGGAAGTCGTTTTAATTGTTTGGTGAAACTGTCAGTTTGTGTACAGTCTGTCTGACGGCTACAAAGAGACATTACAAAAAGACACAGAATGGCTACCATTTACTGTGACAAACCAAGTGAAAGCTTTGCGAGCAGAAGAGCAGTGATAGAAGTTGCTCCCCAGGTGACGCTCCTCACGCTCAAAGCATGATTCTATCCTCGCAGGCTGCCATTTTGCTCGCGTGAGCAGCAATATTCTGCACAGAGTGACGGGAATGCGTGTGCACGGCTCTCATTCGTGCTTGCAGATATTGACAGTGATTTGCCTTCATAATCATCAAATATAATTTGCTGGTCAAATGTATTTACACCGCGTTTAAAGAAGTTCCTGTTTATTTGGTTTGTGAGTTGGAGGCCTCTGAAATGGTTGCTTTAAGCTGACTGCTCTCCACACATCTAGACTGAACTTTACGTACTTAAATCTTTAAAAGGCTAATCGCACCCACTGTGAGCTAACGCTACAAAAGTTAAACACTTCATGTTATGGTCCATTTTACCTTATCAATGCAGCATATATATATCTATCGGTTGCCAATGCCAGAAAATAAAGGATGAAAGTCTGGGGATGCTCAAGGATTTAAGAATAATAATTGTAAATGTATATGTTCAGGTAGTAGCTGATGTGTCGCCACTTTAACGGTCCTTTTTTTTTTTTTTTTTTTTTTCTTTTGGCCCCCCCCCCCCCTCTTCCTCCAACATGCGTGTCCTCTTCTCCAGGTTACGGTCACACCACTCCCCTGTCTGACACCGGAAAGACCTTCTCCATCCTCTATGCCCTGATAGGAGTCCCCTTCACCATGCTGGTGCTCACCGCCTGCGTCCAGAGGATCATGCACCCTCTGGTCCTCAGCCCCGTCGGCCTCCTGCAGCGCTGCGGCGTGCAGCCTCGGCCGGCCACCATCGTCCACTTCGTGCTGCTGCTGGTCCTGGTGGTGCTGTTCTTCTTCTTGACGCCGGCGGCCATCTTCAGCTCGCTAGAGCCGTCCTGGTCCTTTTTGGACGGCATCTACTTCTGCTTCATCTCGCTGTGCACCATCGGACTGGGCGACTTCGTTCCGGGGACACAGCCCCGGCAGAAGTACAGGTCGCTGTACCAGGTCTCCGTCATGGGTGAGTGCAGTTGTCCCTCGTATAGATCACAAAAGCGTTTGTCCAGTCGTGTAGCCAAACTTTATTTATTATGACTAAGTAGAATAACATCAGACTAAAACATCCACATTGTTGGAGTCTAGAGTCATGTTTGTCCTTTTTAAAGTTTAGATGGACACTAAATCTTTCACACTGTACCCTCATAATACCGGAGTCTGTTTACTTGTGTCAAGTGTGTCTTTATTCGCGTCTTCGCCGGCATGTTTTCGGGTTGACCGTCTGTCCATCCCATTCTCCAACACAATATCTCAAATTTGGCCCGCCTGGACTCAAAGATGAACTAATCAGATTTTGGTGGTCAAAGGTCACTGACCTCACAAAACATGTAAACTTGATGATGAAGTGATGACATTTTTGACTCCACTGGTTGGCAGAAGCATACAGCTGTGAGATGGTGATTCTAGTTATGTGTTTTAAAGTTGTTTCCAAAAACTGCTGCCAGTTTTTCTCATCACACCGGGGTACAGTGGGTTGTCCTTCAACCAGAAGATCGGTGGTTTGATCCCCAGCTCCTCCAGTACATTTTGAGAATGCTTGACCCCAAAACTTCCTCCTGTAGGCTGCGGTATATGAATGGGCGAATGACATGTAGTGTAAAAGCGCTTTAAGTGGTCGGACGTCCATTACAAATGTAATTGTAGTAATGATTTTCTGCTTCAGTTCCATTGCTTGGTGTGTTGGGTCACATTTCCTTCTGATGTTGAACTTGTTTGGTTCAGTGTGAACGTTTCTACAGTCGCCGTGCCAGGCTCACACACTTCCTTTTATTAAGGCTTGGTCATCTTCAGTACGTGTTTGATAAGAAGGTGTTGTCTCATCAAGATCCGGCACACGATGACTCGCAGACCAGCGCACAGTTTACTGAGCAAACAAACGCGTTTCAAATATGCCCTTACATTAATGCAGACGAATTGGTACTCTCACATGAAGTTTAACAGACGTGTGGAACCGTACTGACAAATGCCAGACGTTGCTCACTGTCACTACCCTCCCAGTTATGATACAGCACACACTTCGCTGCGATTTTATGATGAAGAGAATTATTCAATACATTTATTTTGGCCACAACAATGCACAGAATGTGGTGAAGTTTAAATCTCATCAGCTAAGCAAACACCCAGGAGCTAACTTGATCTTAACTGAACCATCTGTAACCCGATATAACACACAGATGAGCAATACAAATGTACCTTTTTTATGGTGCAAGAAGCAACATGAGCTTTTCTGGATAAAATCTAAATCTTTTAGTCGGGTTGGTTCGTCGTTGGTTTGGAAGTTCTAATGAACAAGTGTTTCTACTCTCTAAAAACATCCCAATGTGATTTAAGCCAGTTTTCAACAGAGTCCTTGTGATATTTTCAAATATCTCCCTTGTTATTTCACTTCAATGATGTCTAAGAATATTAAAAAGCCACTGCACTTGCATATGTTGAAATGAGAACTAACAGGGGCCTCATTGGGTCCCGTGAGGGTCACACTGAGCTGCTGCATGCCTGCAGAGCTGCAGATGAGAGCAGGTCTGACCCGGCAGCGTGGTGGCCTCCAGAGACACAGAGCCAGAGGTGACAGTCTCATCTCTCTCTGCTGCAAAGATTTCCTCCTCGTCTTCCTCCTTTGGAGAGAAAAGAAGAAGACGAGGCAGCATTTTTTTTTTTTTTGGTTCAGCAAGGAAAGCGGGTCCTTTTCAAACAGAATAAACATGACAGGAAGGACATTGAAGGGGTCACGACATATTTCCTCTCTGAGGGGAGAAGCTGACCGTGCATGCAGTCTTCATTCTCTCCTCCGATGTGAGAAGTAGCACCTCTCGTTTCTCGGTAGAGGGGTCGAAGTGGCTTCCTCAGTAGTGAAACTGCTCTCAGGGTCCGTTAGCTGCCTGGAAAATGTAAGTTCACGCTTCTGTGTGGATTAGTGCCGGTCCAATCGACTTTGTGGAGAGTTTTAATGCAACTGAGATGATCTCAGAAGCGTCAGTGGCTTTTTTTTTTTTTTATTTATTTATTTATTTTTTTTATATAAACTTTTTAATAAAGACTCAACACAACAGCACTGACTGTAATATGTGGCTCTGTTAGCCGATCATTTATTTGTGGATTGATTAATCGACCAACTGTTTCGGCCTCCTGGGAAATCTTGTACATTTATGTTCCCCGGAGGATGAATCCTTTTGATCCCCTGAGGCGCCACCATGAGGTTGAGAGTTTGAGGTTTGAGTGAAGTATCCGAAAAATATGGTACCTCATTTCATCCCCCCCACTGCACAGCCACATCCAGACATGCAGAGTGAGGTCTGCGTGCCGTTATAAACTATTAGCAGATTGTTTTTTAAGGAGCAAGCAACGGAATAAGTGTCCGGATGAAAGGACAGGAGAACATTCAGTGTGGAAACCACTTGTGCGCATTCACAATGACTCCATTGAGATGTTATCTGTAGATGTTGTTCTTGAGAAAAGGTTCTACTGGATCCCAGTGGTTTCTTTGTTTCTCCTTTTAGATTGAGCCGTCACATGGTGGTTGTTGTTGTTCAGCCTCTGTGCCGGGTGTTTGCTCTGTAATGGAATCAGGGTTGGAATGACCTTTTTGTCCAAAAGTAGCCACGCTGTTGTTTTTCTCCTCTGTGGTCTCAGTCAGAGAGCTCTACAGGGAATACCCAACAAACACATTTAGGACAACCCATTGAGATGAATGCGGTCTTTTGTAGTGATTTGACTAACGAAACAACTTCACCATAAAATACCTTCTTACTGGGAAACTGTCGGTTTCTGTGTTGATTTTTGGACATGGACATTTAGTTTGACTGAGCATCGTTCAGCTGATAAACACCTTTGCCTTAGAGTGAGGGGGATTTTAATGGTCGGAGGGACCCGTGTGGACACACACTGGAAGTTACTGTCCTTCTTTTCCTCCTCTGTCCTCGGTTAATCCCTTCACTTGAGTTTGGAAGGAGGCCCGGCAGTTCACACGGAGCAGTCGTGTTGTTTCCTCGTCCCCCAGGCTGCATTATATAATAACGATGTAGGTCGAGTCGCATTAACCCACGAGGTCCCTTGCAGGTTTCTGAGGGAGGACTAGAGAGCGAGTGCAAGATGTGGCCTGACGTCTCTTATACATAAAGGATTCACTTATTATGAGCAGCCGTCACTTTGTCAGAGGAGGCAGTGGAGGTCTCAAATCTTTCATCGTTATTGTAATTCTGACATTGTGCCATGCAAAGGCCCCCCCAAACACGTCGACTCCCTCAACATGTTATTGACCGCGCAAACTTATTTTTCCACGATAGCACAGAATTCTCAGTATTGCTGAAGAGCAAATATTTTGAGGCGGTAGTTTGGACAGACAAAGTCCTTTAACCCATCATGTTCTGATTGCTTCACAGGTGGAAAATAATACAAGAGCAGCATAAGATGAAAAGCTGGCAAGTTTCATAGTGTCTGATTCTTTAAAAGAGATAATGAGGTGCTATTACTGTGCTTCTTGAAGTCCTAACGGTAGACCGACGCTAATGCCATGTTTCCCTGTGACTTCCCCTGCACAGCTTACTGTACACTTCCCACAGTACACTGTGAAGTTGCTGAGCTGAGGCCTCTGTAATCCTATACTGTTTTTCCTGAAGAGTTGTCATACGGCTGTAGTAAGAGACCATTGTCCAGGACCTGAGCTCTGTGGGTATGTGGGGCAGTTCTAGTGCATACGTGTGACCGCAGAGGACCGCGTTGGACAATCAGAGCAGGAATAACAAATGTGGAGCGGATTTTGTCCTCCCCTTTGCCTCCCACTGGAGGACACTTTTTGTCCTCCTCTTGGGTGAGACTGGATTCACTGAAATGGATTTATCTGTCCACGGCCAAGCTCCTGTGTGAGACTTTGACATTAATTCCTTGGCTCCTAACTGGCCACATTTTCCGTGTTTGCGTAGTCATGGGACACTGGCACAGTTTGACATGGTAGTTTCCTGGTGTTCTTTATAAATGTTTTTATTGGGACTATCATTTCATATCTGATTTGCTTGTATTTTACATGAAAAGGGTCCCAAGCTTTGTGTCGCTGGACTCCTGTGGTTGAGACCGTCACATCAGTGTGGTGGTGCCCTGATCTACGTTGTACACACAATGGCACATGCTGCTTATACCTTGAAACAACAGCTCTGTGGAAAATACCACATGTCCCAACCAACGTAACCAATTTAGACTAAATAAACACATTCGACACGTGGAGTCCAACGGGTGAAGCTCTCTGCCAACATTTAAAGCTGCAAAAAGATGATTGAATTAAAGTTTGTCACAGATCTGTTTGAGATTCAACATCATACGTGCACTCCATTTAATAGTCTAGTAATAATGTAACTAGGATAGGACCAGATCACCTCTCTTCCCCCCCCCCCCACACACACACACACACACCACCTGATGCGTCCAATATTTCCAAAATATTGAATTCAGCTACAGGTAATGACTTTCTTTGGCAAAAAAATGGCTTGTTTTGTTGAATGACTGACCGCCTGTCTCTCTGCCCCCCCAGTCTACCTGTTCGTGGGCCTGATGATGATGTTCCTCCTGCTGCGCACCATCCACATAATGGCCGACCTGCACGGCCTGACCACCTTCCTACAGCTGCCACGCTGCGAGGATTCCGACCTGGACGAAGACCGGAAGCCCATCGTGGAGGACGGACCCGAGGCTCAGACGCCCCCTTTCCTGACGGAGAAAGAGGCCAGCAAGCCCCTGGAGCCGGGATCGCAGCCCTCGTACAACACCATCAACACCGGCTGAGCTGTGTGGGGTGGGGTGGGGGGGGGGGGGGGGGGGGGGTTAGTAGTAGTAGAGGAAGAGTGATCTACCTACCTCTGACATCCAGACCGGTGGGCTGAATCTGAATTCTTGTCTTTATTTGTTCATTTTGTCTTCAGTCTCCCCGTGAAGAAAAAAAAAAAAAAAAAAATACCACCCAGGTCCTTCTTTTTATATTTCACGTCTGCACATCATGGGGGGGGAAGCACCTATACACTATGGACCAGATCGGCCGCTCGTATGTAGAGCCACAGTTGTCCTCAAACACTTGAATGCACCTTCAGAAGCATGAATGATCACAACTGCAGCGACATGCACAACTGCAGCTTTGGATGGCGTCGTCAGAGTGAGGTCGTATGTGGACCTCCGCTGAGGATTTTAAACACGGGTGATGTTAGCTGGAACGTGTCTGGTGGGCTTTCTTGTGCTGGGTCAGCCCTGCAGACTACAGAAACCACAGACCAGCACTGAGTTTGCCTCAGGACACGGGCACACGGGCTGCTCTACTTTTACAGTGCTGCCCCCTAGTGTTACTACATGTTACTACACCTCCAGAAGAGGGTCAAAGGGTTGGAACAGAGGGATAGAGGAAGAGACAAAACATTTGAATGACTGTTAAGGGTTTCATTGTGGTGAGTGAGGAAGTGATTCATTTCAATAGAAAAAGCTCATGTTACTTGTCAAGCACAGCATGTTATGTGTGATTTAGAGATTGTGAACACTTGAAATGCACTTTAACGTTCGCATCAGTTATTTTAAGTTGCAGTTGAATGAGTCTCTTATGTCCTGATACTGTAAACAGAAGTCGTCCATGTTGGTGTGTATGTTTGTAGTTTAGGCCTATCAGTTTAACATGTTTCCATGGTTGGTTAACTGTAAATTAAAGGAACTTTTCCCAGTAGTATTGGTATTATTATTATTATTATTATGTCATGTTTGTTCTCGTAAGCATGGCATCCTTCGTTTTGAGAATTTGATACTCAAATGCTGAGCCAGCAAATGTTCCTTGTGTGTTGTGATGATATCTGCCTCAAACAGTCTGAGCATGGACGTCCCAAATTAGAATGTCTGAAGTGTTTCACACGGTAGCAGGTCGGCCTGAACCCTTTCCGTCTGTTATGTAATGCTCTTTCACTTTCATGGTTCTCTAAATGCACTACTGCTGCGTTTCTTCTGGTTCATAAATGAAACTCGGCATTGGATAACTGAGTTTGTGCAGTAAGCATAATTTTTCCCCATCCATTTCCAAAAGTCAAGTATCTGCTGTAAAATGTACTTTATGCATTATAATGAAAAACATATTTAAACATGACTTAATTTTCACATTTTATTAAGAAACTTCAGTATAAATAAAGACATTTGCCTTTGTTACAAAAAAAAGACTAAATACAGTGTCCAGGCATTCTGCCCTCAAACAACCATTAAAATAACTGCCGTGACAGTACATTAGTATACCATTAGAGAATTGTCAAACATGGTATGACATTAAATCTTAATAAAAAATATATGCCATTCATAAATATAGTGAGACTGCAGTCCAGCTGTTAACAAAGGACCGTTGCATAGAAAGCAACTCTGCTCTGCAGACTGTGGATCAGTAAGAACAAGAACCTGACAAACGGGCATCATGTGCTTCCTCTGCTGCACATGTCGGCCGTGTTTCAATGCTGGACCAACATGTATAGCTGGTTACGTTACAGTTTCCTTAAGTGTTTTTTCTTTTTAAACATTAACAGGACACGTAACAGGACTCCACTTTATGGGTTCGGAAGGAATAATTTGAGCAATATTACCACTGATTAACAAAAGACAACGCAAGACAGACAAGAAATGCATATTAACAAAAGTGCAATAATTCCAAAACCAGACATAACATGCGGACCCCACTAGAATGAGCGGACCTACTGATGAGTGAGCAGCTGCTCACAGCATCATGTGGACGCTAAGCACCCACCAGGACTGATCACAAACATCACATCTGTACAGCAGTAGCTGTCACGTAGTGACTCTAGCTAATGTACAGTGACTCTGTACTATCGCATTAAAAACCCACGAGGACGTGTTTACAATCTCAGAACTGTTGACGCTCTTAAGGCATTGCAGAACAGCTGTTTCCTGAACTACAGCTGCACTCAGTGAGGGAAACATTTCGGACTAAACTCATTTTAGTTTCACTCTTTTCGGCCTTCAGATGGGACGTGGCTTAACCTGGTTGAGTGGCATTAAGAGTTGTGTGCTTTGTAATAATACAGGATACATTAATGACATGGCATCGTACTGTACCTCCAACTACTAGTTACTGATTTATAACTAATGATAAACTGATGGACGAAATTGGAAGAAAATACCGGTTCTTGTGGATATTTTTTTTTCTGACTAAGAAAGCACCTGGTCCGGGTGCTCCTGTTTGAAATCCTGACCCGATCTCTTAACACCCGATACCATGTTCTAACTCGCTGATAAATATGAGGTTAAAAGATTTCTTCACAGAAGTTTGACCTATAATATTAGTCTTTCAAAACAGCCAATTCATGTTCTCTCAGAACTCACGTTAACATTTTACACTTGTTTTAAGTGATGCATCGCCCAACTTTCAGTTTTACTTCATGGATCAACATTCATACATAACTGGCTTTTTTTTTTTTTTCTTATTCCAGATAAACTGGGATGTTCAATGTGAACGCAGGATTACTTGAAGCTGTGGGGCCTTTGACGGATTTTAGTGCCACGTTGCTGCTGCTGCAAATTTCTCTCTGCGGAGAGATTAACGTCTCATGAATCCTGTTTTCTAATCACACCCCCCTTCCCTTGTTCCAATTAGCTGAGTCACACTCAAAACTGTAGTAAAATGCTTCTCAACGGTTCACTATGCTCTGACTCATTGCCATTAAAAAAAGAAACAGCCTTTTCTGGTTTACTACACAGTTTTCACAGTGGCATGACCTCCATTTTTGCTGGAGAATGAACTCTGCACGTGGCACAAAAAGTCCCACGTCCTCGATTCTGACTAGAGATTGAAGGTGAAGAAGCGGACGAGGAAGACAAAGGGCTGAATGAGAAGAACGAAGGCAGACACTTCAGATCCTGGTTGAAGCGATGTGAGGGGAGGAGGAGAAAGCGGGCAGATACTGGTAAAAGTCCTCCCCAGCCTGGTATCCACCTCCACTCCCTATGAGCCCGAGCACACCCATGTCCCTCTCCAGCAGGGATGTGTCTATATTCTGGAACAGATCACTAGACTCTACCTGCTGCTCCCAGCTTCCCGAATAACCTCTGACTCCCTGTTTCACCCACGCCACGCCTCCATCGCAGGGGCCCGACAGGTTCTCCAAGGACCTGAGAGGCGTCCGCGGAGCTGCCTGCGGGCTCCCGTCGATGATGGAGTCCAACGCAGTGAGGATGGAGGAGATGGCGGCTGAGAGAGAGTAATCGGAGTCCGTGGACATCGATCCCCAGTCCTCATCTTCGTCTCTAACAGACAGAGGGACATTTGATGCACCCGAGTGGCAGCTGACAAGAGCCGAGTGGCTGTCAGAAAACGTCAGCGCAGAGTGATGTCTTGCTGCAGCGCCTCCGGTGAAAATACCCTCCTGGAGGGCAGATGGAGAGCCACAAGGCTGTGGTGACACCTCCATGTCTACAGAGGGCGCCACACCATCCTCCAGGCTGATCAGCCGCAGCGTGTTGGCTATGAGGACTGACCTCCGCAGGCTGGGTTCAGGCAGCACCTGGCCGCACTGGTACTTGTTCAGGGAGACCGAGAAGACGAACTGCCGCTGGCTCTCCCAGACGGGGCTGCTCCGGTCGGAGACCTCCACGTCCTCCGGGGGGTGTTTGCGCTTCTGCCCTTTAATGATCATCTTTGAACTGAGGAGGAAGCAGTAGACCGTTAAGTGGACTTGTATTGCTGCTTTAAAATCATCTCGAGTTAACATTTTTAAAAATACTACAGGAGAATATAGGAATATCGAAACACATCATTTAGATAAAGTCTGCGCTGAATCATAAACCGACCCCTCTCACCCTGGACATGATCTGTTTGTGCCCCTTCCATCTGGCAGGAGGCTGCGGTCCATCAGAACCAAGACCTCACGCCACACAAACAGTTTCTTCCCGTCCGCAGTCGGGCTCGTTAACATAGCCCGGGTCCCCCACTGACTGTCATCCCCAGGACATTTCCTTCTGGGCTCTCCCCTGCACATCCCTGTTTCTTTATTTAAACACTCGTCACTTTTAACATTTCACTTACACTTCACTTGTTTTACAGTCCTGTTATCTGTTTTGTTGTGCACTTTATTTTATATTTTATTGTAAATTGAATATGTTTCTATTTCTCGCAATGTGTTGATTGCTGATAGTTGTGTTACGCACCAACCGCCACGACAAAATTCCTTGTAGGTGCAAACTTCCTTGGCAATAAATAGTTCTGATTCTGATTCTGATAAATCAATAGTAACTGAATCAATAGAAATATAATCTATTAAACATTAAACATCACTTTGGCTCTGACAGCCTGTGATAATATTCTTCTCTTATGGCCTCTAATCAGTAATAAATATATAATATAAAAGTAGCAGCCATAGACTGAGTCAGTAGATAGAGATACTCTAACAGTTTACATGTTAAAGTTAAATACATTAAAATACATTAGCAACAACCATATTAAATTAATAAGGTACCATCACCGGTGTGTTTAAATGGTTTTGCTGCTTTTTGTGTTTGTTGAAATCTGGCCGAGTGACTTGGCAAAAAACTATTTAACTTATTGTTTAGTTTGAATTTACGCATAGGGCTGAAAACACGAAATCAAATAACCATGAAATTGATAATATAGTTCATTCAGCGATGCTTTCTGTGAATGCTAACTAGCTCAGTCAGCAGTTAGCGTTAGCTAAACTTAAATGTGTGTTGGGGGTTGTGACGTTAGGAGGGAAACGGAGACCTCGACAGATAATAACGTTATAACGTTAACATATAACAATATAGCAACGTACTGGACTGACTGGAATCATCTCGATTAAAGACACGGAAACGATTCACGGAGTTAAAACACGAACGTGTTCAACTTTAAACACATAAAGTTAGACTTCTTTAAGAACAGACCTGTTGAATGTCTTCCCGTCTCTCCTCGGTAACGTCTAGTAGTCGTTAGTCGACACCGTTACTGGTGGTTGCCTCCTCTTCGACCTAAAAAGTAAACATGTAACGTTTAACTCTAATTCCGAGGATTAAAAATAGATTTCAACCTTTCTGTTTTAAACTCTACACGCTACAGCTGCTCGAGCGGACCGCCTCGGTCTTCTCCCGCCCGTGATTTGAGTTTCCTCCAAAAGGTTTACAGTTGGGGGCTGGATGTATCGAAAGGCATTATGGGTAGTGCAGTTTATGTACGTTACACAATCTGGATAATATGATGTTACATATCACACTTTTAACTAAATATTTATATGGCAAATATAATAATGAAATCACGATTCGTATAGTATGTAAACCTGTACATTCGTTCCCGTCCTGATTATTTTCCACAGACCGGATTGTCAAACTTGATAGTAATTTGCATCGTTCGAATTCCTGAAGCATTACATCACCGGCAGAGGAGGGATCGGCATCTGCATATTGGTTTTAAATTCAAAGTACGGAAATGTGAGTGTAAAACATTAGTGATTACCAAATGCAGGTTCCGGTCAGTATGTCTTATTTCATGTTTAAATTACTGTAAGAAAATGTAACATTTCTGAGAGGATATTAGGCTATTACACCAATATTAAAGCAAATCAATCACGTTTTCACTGACGTCTCCAAATACACATAACGACAGAAGCAGAATCAGTCAAAAGGTCTCGATCCTGCACATGTAACGATACACGTCCACGTGAATATTGGTTTTAAACTGCCGGTGATAAAAGTCGCAGCTGTCCGCATCTTATTTCAGACGCCGTGTCATTTACCTGAGAGAGCAGCGGCCGTCAGGGAAGAAAACGCTCAGTGGACGAAACTTCTGCTGAGAGAAACTAGCGACATGTTAAAGTCCACTGTCTGGAAGAACCGGTGAGTCAACTTCAAAACCAGCAGCTCCTCCTCTGCCTGCGGATTGGACGGCAGAGAAAAACATGTCGCCACAACTTCCTGTACTCTGTCAAAATAAAAATCAGCAAACATCTGCCGCACCTTTTTTGAAATAATATAATATAACATTATAATTATATTATGATATTCTATAATACATTTTAATGTAATGAAGCATATAATGTAATGTGCTATTAACATATTATTAATATAATTATTATATGAATCATAATATTATATTATATTGTAGGCCTATTATATAACATGGAGTGTTGCTCCAACACACACCCAGTCCTGACATGTTTAAGATAGAGAAATACTCTGCTTGAAACAATATAAGTGTCCAATATGCTGTATTACACTATAATGCTGTACTATATTATTATTAGCACCTTATACTATATCTTATATCCCATACTATATAGGCTACAACAATGTAATATATCATAGTCTGTTCAGTTAATATGTTATGCTGTCTTACTACATCATATATTATTTCTATTATGTTGCTATACTAATACAGATGACACTGTCATTATTTAATCACATTATGGTGCACGCTGTTTACATAAACAGACTTACTTAGTGTCTTTGTCTTTTATTGCTCTTATATAGTTTCTACTTTTACGTTTTTTCTTATTCAGGTCATCTATACCTCTTATTATCCATTTGTTTTTACTTTGCTATTCATCTCTACTTATATCTGTCTTTGTGCTGCTGCAACAACTGAATTTGTCCTCTGGGGATCAATGAAGCCGCATTTTATCTTGTGGTCTTAGTACAAAAAGTACAGTTGCCTCCTTAAATTACATCTACGTCTCCCTCGTTCAAAAGTCCAGAATATTTGAAAATACAAATATTTAGTAGTATTGGACACCAGATGTCCCCGACTTTAACGTTAAGTCCATTCTTAGCGTAATAGTGTTTAAGTTTTCACATCACACTTGTGTAAATTGCATGTTGGACTAGCTGTGATGTCATCAATCCTTTGAGTGCTTGCACGTTTTAAACTCTGACTTAAGATGACCAAAGCCAAAAATGAGAAAACAGACTCTGTTTACCAGGGCGTAGCTGTATTTAACTGATATACCGAGCAATCATATATGTTAAAGTGGTAGCAACCTATAATAGGATACATCCTGACATGATCTCTATCTTTTAAAAAAATCCTGGTTTTATTCTGAAGGACATTATGCTATCTGCCCTTGGCCCACTTGACACATTTTTTGTCAGCGGGAGTTGCACAACAATCATGTGGAACGCATGCCACTCATCTGACTGCCCAGGAAGGACAGACTCACATGAGGTGAACTTCAGAGAGAGATAGAGAGAGAGAGAGAGAGAGAGAGAGAGAGAGAGAGAGAGAGAGAGAGTACAGTTTATTACTACTATTCCTGTTCGCTCCAGCAACAGACAGCTCCGCTCATTCACACAACACTTTACTTTTTCAGCACGTTTTGCGCGATAAAGTCTTTTATTTTTTAAAGAGCTATTAAAAAAAAAGTACATCAGAGCAGAGACAGGATGCATCACATGATCAAATGTTCAATGATCTCAATACGAAAAGACAAGAAAAGCCGTGAAGCAATGTTAAGAGCTAAAGCCGAAGCAGCAGTGTATCCTCGGTGCGGCTGATGATAAAATCAGTATAAAAATACAGGGACACAGGGAAGCATTAGTGGTTTATCACAACACACTGGGAATTTGAATCTGCACATATATTACTCATTTATTTTCAAAATTCTCAGCATAAACATGGATTTTCTCCTCAGAATGCTGATCTGGAAGAGATCTAAATCTCTTTCCTTGTCCGGACGATTCAGCCGGATCATTTATACTCTGCCCACACTCCGACAGTCTTGCCGTCCCACTCTGAGGTGGACAGACACTTGACGAAGAAGTGTCCCAAGTCGTGTTTAGAGATGGCTCTTCCTTTTAGCATGCCCTCCGCCACCATGTAGCTCTCAGTCAGAGGGAGGTCGTCTGGAGGGAGCGAGACAGAAACAAAAACGTATATTTAAAAATGATGCTCTCTTTGTCTGCAGTTGCAGAGTTTACAATTATGCCATGCACAAAAAATGAACTAAAAAGGTTTGATTTAGCTTTTTAATGTTATTGTTTAACTGTGCTTTGGAGCAAATTCATGCAAAGTAATGTCTCGAGTCATTCTTTTTTAATTATTATTATTAAATTAAATGTAATTGTGTGTAGAACTTCAAAAAAAATCCATTATTCTCAAATGAATTGAATGAGATTGGTTGACTGCAGCACTTTTACGGCAGAAACAAGTTTTAAAAGTTCTCTTCCACTTTTTTTTTTGTTTTTAAATCAAGCTTTACTTTCTACTTCCTACTGACCAGCAATGTGAGGGGGCATGGCGGCCACGTAGTCCAGCCCCGATGATTTCAGCACCTCGTGCATCCGTGCATGGTCCTCTGTCACAGGAAGCATACGGGGCGGGACTTTGGAGCGATCCCACAGCAGAAAGGCTGGGAGGGATGAGGACAAGACGCCGTTACAAACACACTTATTCCTAATTGTCTTCACTGTACTGCTCATCTGAACTTCATCACTTTCTGTCAACAGTGAGTCGTACCCGACATGCAGCCGACCACTTTGCAGATCCCACGAGCCTTCATGGCTTCAATGATGTTCTTCGTGCCTTCGGACATCATGGTGGTCGGGCCTGGCGAGCACAGATCAGATCACAGGTCAGATCACAGGTCAGATCACAAGATTTAAGACTTCAAATGTGTTCATTTTTAGTAAATGGATCAGAGCAACACTAACAGACCTTTTACAAGGTAATGCATGAATAATGAACTCTATTACCAGATTCTGCATTCATATGACAGCCGATGGGTTGCAAGACTGTCAATAATGTAAAAGTGAATGCAGGTGTTCTGTTATGTAAATTTGAATGCAGGATTTTTACTGTAAATTGAGCATTTGCTATTATTGTTTTCCTACTTTTGATTAATAAGGTCCACCTTTTTTAATAAACAGTGTGTTTCAGATTGTGTCACACTGATACAATGACATAGAGCTATGTGTTGTAAAGCTCGTATGGCGACCTCTAGTGAATATTTTCCTCTATTACACCATTCAAAACTACAATCCTTGTGTAAGGTGAACATGGTCAGTTGTGTAAGGATCGACATGAGCCTTAACAATGCAAAGAAACCTTCTTAATGAGGTGTGAACATGTGAGAAGAGCCACAAGCAACACCAGTAAGAGACGTGATGCAAATCAAGCATACAAAGCATACAAACTATATTGTACTTCAAATTAAATCTTACTTTCAGAATAAAACATCTTTCAGAAAAGATAGGGAAACAATCTGTATGTCTTTGCCTGGACAGGACATGTATTCTCTTGTGTTGTGATGTCATGCCTACTGTAAGGAAGTTGATGTTGCGGTGACTTACTCAGGTTGTTCCTGGTGCCCAGGATGATGACGGCAGCGTCCTGGCCCTCCATGGTCTTCTTCACGTCCTCTTTGTTGAGCACATCTCCCACCACCACTCTGGCGGCCTTGTGGTCGGCGGGCAGCTTGGCGGGGTCCCGCAGCAGCACCGTCACATTGTATCCTGATGGAGGAGACATGGGAATCAAACACACCAACATCATCACCGGGATGTTCTGAAACATCTAATAACTGTCCTACAAAACTACATTTTGTCTGACTGATAGCCTGATGCCGTTTAGAGGTTTCTGTGGTTATGTTTTCTTAAATTCATATGATTTCTCCTTTACGTCTTGCAGGATCTCATGACGACTTCATCAAGCTCATGAAAGAGTTGTCAGGAGAAGTGGACCAACGAGAATCACGACCATGGAGGAGCAGCTGGGGGTTAGTGACATGTCGACAACTGACCATTTCACCTGGTTGGCAGCCCTCACACTGAAGCTGTCACTTTCAGCTGATTGGTTGGTGTGCAGTGACTGTCGCGTGTGTTGTAATCATAGAAAGTGTGGTGTTTAAATCCAACAGGACGACATGATCACAACTTCTTCAAACCGGAGTTGGAATTAAACAGAAGCTCCTGTAACAACTTCACCCACTGCATGAAGGAGATCCCACCCTCTCTGTACAGGCGAGATAGTGAGCAGCTTCCACTATCAGCTCTCTGTGACTCAGCAATATGCTGCTGACCGTGTAACGTCTAACATGACTCGACGGTTTTTTTCTTTCGCTCCATGGTGAGGAGGGAGAAAGGGAATAAAAATGCTGCTAAATGAAATGACATAATCATGTCATGTGACATACTGTGAGTGTGTCTGTAGTTTATGTTTTTCCAGAGTTTAATTCCGGCTCCCAATGTGCGTTTAGAAATAAAGAATGTATTCAAGTATACAAGTAATTAAGGAAATAGTTTAACCTCTTAAAATATGTTAATGGAATTAAATCAGATTGCATTATCAGCGATCTTTAAAAGTGTACCTTTAAGTTTTAGTTTTTAGATTTAGTGGACACAATCAGAAATCCCCATGTTTTGACCAAATACATTGATATGGATTCATGTAATAATAGTCCGACTGTACGGCAGTGTAAAGTTACTAAAGGGAACCTATTGTGGCCAATCAAGAGCCGCTGATACATAATCTGTTGTATTCTGATCTATTATATTCTGATCTATTGTATTATGTTTTATTCTATTCTCAATCCTCACCTGCAGCCACCGCGAGCGGGAGGGTCGCGAGCCCGGTCATTCCCGTGGCTCCAAATATCGCGACGTTTTTGATGGAGTCCGACATCATTTGCATCAAGCGAGTTCCACAACACAGCAACAACAACAACTTGACCGGTTCAAACTGAGTCCGATGTGGACTTTTCTTTCAATTTAAAAAAATTCCCATTAGACATGTGTAGGAACCGCCTCTGTCATGTGACAGACGAGAGGCGCTTCCGCTACTCAGACTCCTCCCACTCCACGAGATTTAAAGGAGCTCTGACAGTCCTGCTCCAGTCTTGTTACTACTGTATAGTTATACAACAATTTAAAAACACACTGTTACAAGTTAAAGTCCTGCATTCAAAAGTGCCTAAAGTATCCCTTAAAGTATTCTCATCAAAACATACTTAAAGTACAAAAAGTATTAGTACTCATTATGCAGAATTGCCCTTTTCAGAAGGGTATATCATTGGATTATATGACTACTTTAATGTTGCAGCTGGTAAAGGTGGGGCTTATATCAAATACTTGTAAATTGTTTAATAATTGAACTGTGCAATACTGTACATTTCAAGAGAAAATCATATTTAATTCTGATTTGTACTATTCTTGCATTTATATTTTACACACTTAATGGATCGCTTGTTTGCACTATGGTTGTTGTTTGTGTTTTATGCATATATTTCTTATTTTTCATTCCATATTTTATTATTTACTTGTATTCTCTCCATATATTGTGCTGTATATTGTAGCATTGTGTACATTATTTACATTTCACATAGACCTTTGTTTCCATTTTATTTTATTTGTGCTTATAAAATACTCAGACAAAGTACCTGAAAATGTTGCTGCAGTAAATGTACTTGGTTACTTTCTACAGCTGCTCCCCAGTCGAGTCTACTTTGCAGATTTGAACTATAGTCTCAGTATTACTTGTAAGTCATTAAAGGCTTTCTGACTCAAAGCTGGTCTTATTGAAAAGTTGGCAATTTGCTTTAATCAAAATATGAGATTCAAGTCCTGCCTAATCTTTCTCACATTAAATGCATTTGATTATATTGTCTATGGGCATTTAAATCATAAAGACTTTACTTACACTTAAATACTGCAAAGAAACCCTGTTAATCAAGTTTTAAAACAGCGAATATGTGTGCAGGCCTGGATATCATTGCTGAATGTTAAAGAGATGATTCATACTGTGGCAGAGGGCTCTTCAGCAGCCAATGTTGAGAAAAGGTCAAAACAAATTCTGCTTTTAATGTGGTGAATACAGGAGGCTGTGCTGCTTTTTCGCTTCTTTTTTTATTTAAATCCATCTCCTCAGCGCTTCCAAAACAGACTCACTTTGAAAGTGAATTCAGGTGCACTTAGCTCTTCTTCTTGTCTTTGTAGTGGAACAGGGGCGTTAAATCCTTCTGCACAAGTGTTTCTAATGTAGAAAATTGGATTTATTAAACAGTGTTGTGGTTCCAAGCTCATTATAGCTGATTCATATCGAAGCAAACAACCAAGCAGAGATTCCAGTATTCAGTGATGTTAGAACAGCAAGAAGAAGTTAATATCATTAGATGTCTTGATAGGAACAAATGTGTATGTTTAGGCCTATCTCACGAATAATTCATAAGTCACTAACGCACAGCTAAATACATTGGTGTAATTATGATCTATTTAATTACTTTACAATTAAATGCAGCACAACAATTAGTATGTCCTGGCCTGAGTTGCCCAAAAGATGCACCTGAGAAAAATGTTATTCGCTTTGGTCAGCGTTTAATCTACTCCTGACTAGCAGTTGGATCAAAGTGATTACAAACACAGTTAAATTGTACATTATTAAAACAATATCTTTTTCTTTTTTTAAAGCTTTTAAACCGCGTCTACCGCTGTAAAATGATGTTAAAGCACGGCCTCTTGTGGCTTCTTGCTCAAATTAGACACTGACAGTCTCTCTCTCTCTCTCTCTCTCTCTCTCTCTCTCTCTCTCTCTCCCTCTCTCTCTCTCCCTCTCTCTCTCTCTCTCTCTCTCTCTCTCCCCCATCTCCCTCTCTCTCTCTGCTCGCCGCACTAATGCTGATATTTCTCTCCAGCATCACCAGCGGAGAGGAAGAGGAGGAGGAGGAGGAGGAGGGAGAGGTTGTGTCAGGTGGAAACGTGGACCTCTATGGATATCATCATCACCCTCCACCGGCTCGCATCCTCAGCACCGACAGCATCTCCCGGCCCGCGGTCACCGCTGCAGGCACACAGCGCCCTTTTTATGCGCCAAGGCATTGCATCTCCACGGTGGAGCCTCTGCGGGCTGCTGGCTTCAGTAATTACCCGAAACAAACCGCTTCGTCCTTGTAATAATACGGACTAATCGAGGGAAGACCCTGCCGGAATAAAAGCGGCGCGTCAGATTCCTCCATTGATAAACCGCTCTCCTCATCGATTCAGCCAAACGGTCGTCTTGGGTATAAGAGGCGGACCAAAGCGATCCAAAAAGACTGACGCTGAAGCTGAAGGTAAGGCCGATAGAAGGACGAGAGGATGATTCCGTTCTCCACGGGATGTCGTTTTATTAAATCACTCCTGTGTGAGAGCAGGGAGTCGAGGTGCACGGTGGGTTTTTTTTTCCCTTTTTTTGTGTTGCAGGGACGCTGGCCTGCAGTTTGGGTGCAGGGTACCGCAGTGAGCTTACATGTCTTTCTTACAACTACATGTGTTACATGATGCATGCCTGGAAAAGTTACGATGCCTCTCTGCCAGAGCTGCTTGTCTGTCATTTGAAAGGGTAAATGGGTCAAGAAGAAGCCGAATAGCGGCCTAGTGTATGGGCTTTGTAATGTTGTTGCATGTTACACCGGATCAGTTTAGATCAATGTGCATTATAACCGATCACTTTAAATTGTTGATGGTTATGTTGGGTTCTGTGGCATTTTGGCAAACTGTACCCCAAATGCAAATAGCAACTTCCCAAGCGACACATCTCCACAGCAATCACATATATCCCTGCAGGAAAGTGTCTCTGTTCACTGTGTGACCTGACATTTCTGGTGTCAGTTATTCCCCTAGTTTAGCTGTTTTATATATAGGGGGATGAACTGATTCAGATTATTCTTGTGCTTTTAGTGAGACTAGGCCAACAGCAGCAGCATAGCTCGCTGTAGCAACACCAGAAGAAGCAGATGCACTGTAGCCTGTCCACACTTAACGTGGTGAGTTTTGATCGCATCTGCAGCGAAATGTGACCACTACCTCGGCTGTGCATTGAGACGATCGGTGGCTGTTTTATTATTATGTTTTATTTATTATTTACTATTTGTGGCAAACATCTATGCTGGCTAAGTGGGGAGCTAATGCAGAGGTGTGCAGGCAGGTGTGGGTCAGCTGGCTAGCTTTGGTTTGTTGGTGCAAGGTGTGTGTGTGTGTGTGTGTGTGTGTGTGTGTGTGTGTGGTGTTGGAGGGAGGGTTAATAGCAAAGAA